CTGCCACCTGCTGTGGGAGATCCTGGGATCCAGGAAAAGCAAACACACATCAGCTGGAGCTCTTCCCGAACCCATGGCAGAAGCCACGCCTGCGTGTGCAAAGGCCCTGCTGGTTCGGGAATGGCTGTGACCAGCTTTTTCTCTCTGCAGGCCAGAACCCCTTGCTGCAAAGCAGTAAGCCACGACACTTCTTCCTGGGCCACAGCTACGGCACGAACTGGGTGGAATACGACACAACCGGCTGGCTGAGCTATGTCCGGCAGAATCCCGCCTCCCAGAATGCCTCACTTCTCCTGCAGGGGTCTCAAAAGTAAGCCATGGGGTTCCAGAGGACGGGAGGAGGATGGTTCGAGAAAGCAAATGGACTTTTTTGGTGTTCTTTTCTCCTGTTCTTTTCTTTCTTGGACGCACTCCCCTGCTGGAGATGGGCGGGCGTTCTTGGCAGCCCCGTCTTTTCTCCGATGTGGGCAGCCCTAAAGAAGATGTCCTCCCCCAGGCTCATTTTACCATATGTGGTGGACATGTGATAAGGCAAGAAGTTATTGGGCTGAGATACATAAAGAAATGGGAAAAATTGTAAAATGTAACTTTAAAAAAGAACCTGAAATATTGCTGTTGGGGCTTAAAATGGAAGAAGTTAATGTGCAGAAAAGAACTTTGATGTGGTATATGATCACAACTGCTAGAATGACTTATGCACAATGTTGGAAACAAGATAGAATTCCGGAAATTGAGGAATGGATAAAGAAATTAATATTCATGGTTGAAATGGACAAAATGACAAGGAAACTTAAGAACCTTGAAGCAGAAGAATTCTATGCAGACTGGAAAGGCTTTAAAGAGTACTTAGAAAAATATTGAGATGTAAAGGACAACTTAATTTGCCTTGACAATTATTGAAAAGTTAATGCTAATAGATGAAAGTTACTTAAGAGACAATACTAATAGAAAGAAGCATTACCGGTAGATTAAGATTAGAAGATAAGGAAAATGGAAAAGGACTAAGAAATGGGCTGGAGGTTGGAGCACTGTGGGAAGCCAGGGGGAGAGGGGAAAGAGAAGAAAGGATGTATAATAAAATAATATGATGTATGTTTGAACTAATAATATATCCTAATAAATTGGTTTTTTGGGGGGGGGGGAAGAACATGTCATCCCCCATCTTACTTTCTTTGTCCATCACACACCCACACGCGCATCCCAGCTGCAGTCTCCAGAGGGGGTGCTCTTAGCCCCTGTGGTAGATAGAACAGGGGTGGAGGGGAGGGCTTGACGGTCTCTTTCCCGTCCCTCCAGGAGGATAATCAGCAGCCTCTTTGCGGGCCGAGCCGGGAGCGGCATGGTGTTGTCCGGGTCCATCGCTGGCCTGGAGGGGGGCTCCCAGCTCGCCCTGCGCAGGGCCACGAGCATGCGGAAGACCTTCACCACCGGGGTGGCGGCCATGAAGAAGAAGTCGCTGTGCATCCAGGTCAAGCTGCAAGTGGTGAGTCTCTGGGCAGCCTGGAGATTGACTGGGAGGGGGGGGGGGATGTTCCGCGTGTGGCCCTCCACCACCAGCACTCCCCCTGACTAAAGCTCTCCCCCCGCTGCCCAGGATGCCCTCATCGACACCCTCAAGAAATCCAAGCTCCACTTTGTCCACTGCTTCCTGCCCAAGGCGGATGGCTGGAGCGGGGACCCCAAGGGACCAGGTGCGCGGAGGGTCAGCACGAGTGAGCTGGACCTGCACGGCGAGCACTGCGAGGCCGGACTCATGCAGCTGGACGTGCCCCTGCTGAGGGCCCAGATCCGGGGTTCCCGCCTCCTTGATACCCTTCGAATGTACCGGCAAGGTTGGTGCCTCCCCTCCCCCCGGGGCTCGGGTGAATGGCCTGGTAGGTTGGCTGTCTAGGGCGATGTTGTCTAGGACTCGCTTGGCTTTCAAGGGCAGTGATGCCTTATGTCATACTGGGGACAGGGTTGAGCTTATCAGCACACGGAAGAAGGGGTGACCCGCAGAGTCCCCACTTCCAGGAGTAGCAATTCTGGCAGGGTAGATGTTTATCCACAAGTGTACAGACAGTTGCCCTGTTTTGTCCCGTGGGGCACCAACATTTCTCTTGGAAGCATCTCTTCCTGCCTCCTCCTCTTTGTATGAGCCACAGAGGTCAGCCCACCCAGTCAAAAACCAATGGGGTGGGCTGTGGTTCACTTGCAGAGCATCTCCTTGCAATGCAGAATGTCCCGGGTTCAGTCCCCGGCACCTCCAGTTGAAAGACCAGGCAGTAGGTGATGTGAAGGACCTCCGCCTGAGACCCTGGAGAGCTGCTGCCAGTCTGAGCAGACAAGATTGACTGTGATGAACCTTGGGTCTGATTCAGTAGAAGGCAGCCTCATGTGTTCACGTGGCAAACAGGGTGGCGCCACATTGTTATGCAGCCAGTCAGGTTTGGCAGGTGAGGGCGATGGAGAGCAAAGGCAATCTAAGCGAATGAGAAAGTGTTTCTGCAGGGAGTGCCAGACGGGCTCCCTCTTTTGGCCTTGGCCTTGGCCAAAAACACTTGTGAACAACCGTGAGTAGTTTTCAGGTGTGTTTTCAGGTATGTTTGTCTAGGGTAGAAGAGCAAGATTCAAGCCCAGTAGCACTGTGTCAGAATGTACCCATTAGCACTGTGGCAGAAATGAAAATGTAAAATTTCCAGAAATTTTGAAGCTCGGAAAACCCCCCGTTTTTTTTCCATTTTTTTCCGGGGGGAAACAGAAATTTTCGGAAAAATTGAAAAAAATGCTACCTTAGGATTTATTTTGTCTTTTCTAGATTGAAAGTAATTCTGTTACTTTAGGAACATAAAATATGACTATGGACATTTTTACTTGGCATGAAATCATCACAACAGCATATTAAAAATATAGTGTATCCAAACAATTATTACAAAACAGAATACCCACCCACATGCAAAAACAAAACTGAAGCCTTTTTCTTTTCTTCTGACAATCGCACCTCCTAAAGGAAGAAATGCATTGGAGAGTTCAGTTTGTAACCTAGGACTTGCTTGTCCTCAGTGCACAGAAATTAGATCAATCTGATACTATATATACACACACACACACACACACACACACACACACACACACACACACGCACACACACACACACATATGTGTGTGTGTGTGTGTGTGTGAAATGATTTGGAAAATATTTGAACACCTCGTCTTAAAATATTTTATTCATCATGTTAAAATAAAACGTTCCATAATATTTTTTTTTCTTTTCTTTTTTCAATTTTTCCAGTTTTTCGGAAAAAAACAAAAAACTTCAGGAAAAAAACAGTTTCCCCCCTGAATTTTTCCGTTTTTTTCCCGGGCCTTCACATTTCTAGGCAGAAAGAGGGACTTTTCTTTTTACACTCCAATCGCTGCTACCACCACCTGATCAATATAGGAATTTCCCACTGAAGGGATCAGGACCCTCAGTGTCTCCTGCTAGCCCAGTGGGATGGATTAATGCCTTGTGCGCCCCTGGGGGAATAGCCAATTGCCAACTGCTTGCTTCCCCCCTCCCCTGGGGGGCTCCCTTTAAAAATAGCGTGTCTGAAACAGTGGTGGGTCTATGTAGTACAGAGAACCACTTACAGAATCGAAAGCTTAAAGTATTTATTAAAAATAAAATATTTACAGGCATACTGTTAGCACGACGCCAGAGTGAAGCAAAGAAGAACAAAAGAAATTTGGTGAAATGCAAATCCTCTGTCCCTCTCAGCTATACATGCCCAATCTGATGGTAAAATATAGGACAGGCTCTTTATCTTAGGTGTCCTAGTTCTCTAAAGATATACCATTACCTTAAAGCTTGCTCCCAGCTCTTTAGGCCAGCCGCATGGTCCCAAAATGGCTGCCTGCCCCCATCCTCAAACAAGAGGTGTGTCCAGCTCAGCATCCCAAGGAAAAAAAGAGCTATTTCCTGTTGCCCAAAGAATTTATCCTCTCTTTTCCTCCTCCCCCTTGACCCCAGTCAGCCCAGGCCAAGGCTTCTTTTCCTGTTGCCTCTAGCAAGTCCCTTCCCACAACCTGTCTATCAATGAACACCTCCACCTCTATTCCCTGCTTTGAGGGGAGGGGTAAACTGGCCCAACCCATTGTCAATAGAGAGACCTGTGAACATTTCTTAAACGACGTGTCTGGAAGTCTCGTTCTTCGCTCAGAGGGGAAAAATGGTTGAAAAGCACAGGGAAGGCTTTTGTTGCTTGCCAACCCTCCAGGAGACCAGGCAATTCTCCACAAGGACCTTAAAAGACCAACAAGATCTCCAGGGTAAGAGCTCCCTCTGCCCTTAAGATTCTACCGGACTTGAATCCCGCTCATGAATAGTCAGCCCTCGTCCTCTCTGCTCCTCAATCACTTCTCTCCTCCACCCCAACACTAGAGACAGCTGAAGCAGATACTCCCTCCTGCCTCTCCTCCCCGGGAAGACCCCCCACCGAAGCACATCCCCGTATTCATCCCTCTGAACAACGGCACGGCGGAATTGGTGTTTATTATTTCAAAAGCAGGTTGTTAGTGCTCTGAAGCAAGATCAATGTTGTGCACGGAACCAAGGATCAATGGCCCAGCAGGGGAGGGAAGGGGGCTCAGTGGCCCGGTCGATGATGCTGATGATTAATTAAGACCTGAAGAATCAACACTGCTATCTTGGCCCATAAATTTAATTGCAATTCGTTGGCAGTCGATATAGGCAAATCCATTCTCTTTCTTGAAAAAGCCGGCGCTGCCGGGAGGTGTCGTAACACAGATTGCTGTGTGCAGTGGAGGGTTGCAGGGTTGCGTCGGGGCCCCCCTTTTTTGACAAGTCTCTCTCCAGTTCTCTGGCAGGCCGTTCTCTTTCTAGCCCGCTCTCTAGGGAGGAGAGACGCGGAGGACTATTTTTAACCTGCAGGAGAGGATTCCCCAGTGAGGGCGAGCGAAGTGCATTTGAGGCCAGGGAGACACAGAGCTGAAGTCAGTCTGAAGGAGGGATCGCTGCTCCTGCTTATCTCACTCACTGACCTGCGGAAGGAGGTGTCTGTATTCCGAAACACGTGCAAAACCTGCTTTGACCAGTGAGATTCGAGTCCAGCAGTACCTTAGAGACCAGCACGGTTCCCCTCTGAAACTGCTTGGACCAGTAATAGAAGACGAAGAGAAGAGATTGGATTTATACCCCGCCCTTCACTACCCGAAGGAGTCTCAGAGTGGCTTACAAACTCCTTTCCCTTCCCCTCCCCACAACAGGCAGCCTGTGAGGTAGGCGGGGCTGAGAGAGCTCTGACAGAAACTGCTCTTTTTCAAGAACAGCTGTGCCAGAACTGTGGCTTGCCCAAGGCCATCCATCAGGTGCAAGTGGAGGAGTGGGGAATCAAACCCGGTGCTCCCAGATTAGAGGAGAAGAAGAAGAAGAAGAAGAGGAGGAGGAGGAGGAGATGATGATGATGATGATGATGATGATGATGATGATGATGATGATGATGATGATGATGATTGGATTTATACCCCGCCCTTCACTCGGAGTCTCAGAGCGGCTTACAAACTCCTTTCCCTCCCCCTCCCCACAACAGACACCCTGTGAGGTGGGTGGGGCTGAGAGAACTCTGACACAAACTGCTCTTTTTCAAGGACACCTGTGCCAGAGCTTGTGACTGACCCAAGGTGCAAGTGGAGGTGCAAGTGGAGGAGTGGGGAATCAAACCCGGTTCTCCCAGATTAGAGTCCGCGCACTTAACCACTACACCAAACTGGTGTAGTGTAGAGCCATAGCCATAGAATCAGAGATCTCGGTGGGATCCAGAGATCCTCTGGGCCAGCAATAGGGGATCCAGAGGTTCCTGGGGGGGTCCCATGTGAGTATTCTGTGAGTCCCTTGTTGTAAGGGCAGGGAGGGGAGCCCTTTTTATGGCCACCTGGCTAATGTGGAATGGGGCCATGGTTCTTCAGTTCAAGGGAAGGGGACAGAATTGGCTCCCCTTGCTTTTGCAAAGTGGGGCTCAAGGAGTGGCTGCTGCTGCTGCCCACAGTCACCTAGCTGCCAGGACACCTCAGAACACTAGCCAGCAAATGGTCACAGCAAATGGACTAGTCACTGGCAACCCGCAGCTATAAACCATTAGTTGAGTGGCATCAAAGAGGTACAGTCCAAATGCACTTGTCATAGTTGTTGTTGGTGGAAAGCGGGGTTGTGGTCAGTGGTGGGGCTTTAGGGGCAGAGCCCTCCCAGATAAAGGTGGAGCCCCCCCAATAGCACCTTAGCAAGAGGAGAGCCGCTCCATGCCGCCACCTCTGCCTGGGCCCCGGCAGCCAAGAGGAAGGCAAGTGCAGCATCCGACGTGGGTCACAGAACCTGAAAAGGGTTAGTCATATAGAAAAGAAGGGCCAACAATAAAAGCTTAATATATATGTAGTATATAAAAAGATACATGTATTTATTAACAAAGAGTTTTAAAAATATATAAGGGCCCTATCGCACCTCATGTAAAAATACCTGAATCTAACACACAAGGGCTAATGGACTTGACCTGACGCGTTTTGACCTGCATAGATCTTTTTCAAACACCGTGAGGAACATATTGGCTTATATAACAGTACAGTACAATCGTAGAGATATAAAATATAAATAGAAGAAGGACCAGAAAAAAGTTGTTCCAAAATGAAACCACTAGGCACAGAATAAAAGTACAAATGAAGGTTCCAAAGATGCAATCACATGCCAAGTGGTGTTTCACTGGCAATAATTCCTGGTCCAGAAAGTGCCTTCCTATGATTGCTTAGCCAAAGTCCTTAGGCAGATTGTCCTTAGGCAAAGAGCAGCGGGTCAGCCAGCCGC